TATATATGTGTATGTGTTTATATATATGTTTATATATATGTGTATGTGTGTATATATATCTATATGTGTGTATATATATGTATATATATGTGTATGTGTGTATATATATGTATATGTATGTATATATGTATATATATGTATATATATATGTATATATATATATATGTATGTATATATATTCGATTCCATGTTATAGTTTGGTTCAGGAGAATTTCATTGTGGTTCCATGGTATGAAAACGTTCCTTAATGTGATGTCCCAGCAGGTCATGTTGGCATATTTGGATCCTCCATGGGAGACTTTCACGTGTGTTAAGCTCCATGGTCTGATTCCAGCCTGGTATAAAATAATCTACAACATTGTGAAGCTACGAGGCTGTTGTACCCTCCTGGAACGGCTGTGGCTGAGTGGTTAGAGCAGTTGTCCTCCAATGTGAAAGTTGGGGGTTCAAATCCACCAGCAGTTACATGCTGTAGTGTCCCTGGGCAAGACATTGAATCCCTCTTAGCCTCTGATGTGTGTCCCATCAGTGTATGAATGTGAGCTAAATCTCTGATGAGTCTCTTTAGAATGATTTGTTTCTATTAGCTTTGTAGAGATATAGTAGAGTGCTGTATGAATGGGTAAATGAGGGCACAGATTGTAGTGTAAAGCGCTGAGTATCTTGAAATAAGATATAAAGGCGCTATATAAGTACAGTCCATTTACCATTTGTTTGCTCGTAAAGTTGTAAAACAGTTGCACAGTCTAAACTGCTAATTATCTCTTTACCTTACAACTTGATCATAAAATCTTCAATCACACATACAGAATCACATAAGTATTCATTTAAAAATTATATTAAAAAATATTTAAAAATGATTTAGGCATGATCTTTTGCACATTTAAACATTTTGCATTCTGTCCACAGCAACTAATACTTCCTTTTTTCTTTGTGAGCTGTCAGCCAGGCTCTCTCACACACACACACACACACACTCACACACACGCACCCCCACCGTTTGTTTTGCTATCTTTATGGGGCCTTTGCATTGACTTCCATTCATTTTTCATTCATTTCTATAGCCTAACCATGACCTTTATCCATAACCTAACCATTACCAGTACATACCTAACCCTAAACCTAACACATCCTCAATTCACACTTTAGTCCTAAACCTAGCCCCTAACCCACCAACGGGACTTCTTCTTATGGGGCCCGGGCTTTGGGCCCCATAAGGAGCAGTTGGTCCTCACAATGCAGTATAAGTTGGAAAAATGGGCCTCACAAAGTAGCATAAACAAGGACACACACACACAGGGAAAACAGAAGAAACATCTGGATTTAACCAAGCCTGAAGCGCGCACACACGCACCTCCTTCCTGCATAGATGAGTCAAGGCTGCAACCCTCGCTTTAACTTCTGATTTCACTCTAAAAATCACCTCCATTGACACCTCTCTAACTGCGTCCATATATCTTCTCTTTGACCTTCCTCTTTGTCTTTTTCCTGGCAGCTGCATTTCTAACATCCTTCTACCAATATACCCACTGTCCCTCCTCTAGACATGTCCAAACCATCTCAGTCTGGCCTCTCTAACTTTATCTCCCAGTTGTTCAACCTGTGCCGTCTCCCTGACAATCTCATTCCTAATCTTCTCCATCCTTGTCACTCCTAAGGAGAACCTCAACATCTTAATTTCTGCCACTTCCAATTCTTTCTCCTGTCTTTTTGTCAGTGCCACTGGCTCCAGACCACACAACATAGCTGGTCTCACCACTGTCTTGTAAACTTTTCCTTTGACCTTTGCTGATATCCTTTTGTCACAAATGACTCTCCAGCCACTCCATCCTGCCTGGACTCTGTTTTTCACCTCTTTACCATACTCTCCATTTTCCTGGACAGTGGACCCCAAGTACTTGAAGTCCTGCCCCTTTGTGACCTCTGCTCCTTGTAGCCTCACTGTTCCACTGGCCTCCCTCTCATTCACACACATGTACTCTGTCTTACTACGGCTGACTTTCATTCCTCTTCGTTCAATTGCATACCTCCACCTCTGCAAGTTCTCTTCCACCTATTCCCTGTTCTCACCACAGATCACAATGTCATCTGCAAACATCATAGTCAACAAAGATTCCTGCCTGACCTCATCTGTTAGTCGGTCCATCACCAGAGCAAACAAGAAGGGGCTCAGAGCCGATCCTTGATGCAATCCCACCTCTACCTTGAAGCTATCTGTCACTCCTACAGCATATCTCACCACTGTCCTGCTGTTCTCATACATGTTCTGTACCAATCTAACATACTTCTCTACCACTCCAGATGTCCTCATACAATACCACACCTCCTCCCTTGGCACCCTGTCATATGCTTGACTAAATCCAGAAAGACGCAATGGAGTTCTTTCTGACCTTCTCTGTACTTCTTCATCAGCATTCTCAAAGCACATCTGGCGTCATTGGTGTTCTTTTTTTGGCATGTTACCATACTGCTGCTCACGAATAGTCACCTCATCTAAGTCTTTCTTCCACAACTCTCTCCTAGATTTTCCATCATTTGGCTCATCAACTTTATTCTCCTATAGTTGCTACAACTTTGTACATCACCCTTGTTCTTAAAAATGGCCACCAGTACATTTCTTCTGCATTCCTCATGCATTTTCATGCATTGAATATTTGAGTCAAAAACCTCACTGCCATCTTTCCAAGCCATTTCCAAACCTCCACTGGTATGTCATCAGGTCCTACTGCCTTCTACTTCTTCATTCTTTTCAGAGCTTTTTGGACTTCACCCTCACTAATCTTTCCCACTTCCTGGTCCACAGTTTCAATGACCTCTACTCTTCTTTCTCTTTCATCCTCTTAATTCATTAGCTCCTCAAAGTACTCCTTCCATCTTCCCATCACACTCTCCTCACTTGTTAGAACATTACCATTCCTATCTTTAACAAGTCAGACCTGCTGCACATCCTTTACAGCCTGATCCCTCTGTCTCACCAATCGGTACAAGTCCTTCTCACCCTCTTCAGTGTCCTGCCTCCCATACAACTCATCATACACCTTCTACTTTGCCTTTGCCACATCCCTTTTTGCTCTATGTCCCATCTCCTTATATCCCTGTCTCCTCTCTTCAGTCCGCTTACTGTCATATTTCTTCTTGGCTAACCTCTTTCTTTGAACGGCGTCCTGCACTTCATTATTCCACCACCAGGTTTCCTTATCATCCATTCTCTGTCCAGATGACACACCAAGTACCTTCCTACCTGTCTCTAATTACAGTTACTGTAGTAGCCCAGTCATTGGGAAGCTGTTTCTTACCACCCAGAGCCTTTTACAGCTCCCTTCTGAATTTCTCACAACATTCTTCCTTCTTTAACTTCCACCATTTGGTCTTCTTCTCTGATTTTACTCTTTTTCTCTTTGTCATAACAACAGTCATTCTACATACAACCATCCAATGCTGTTTGGTCACACTCTCCCCTGCCACATCCTTACAGTCTCCAATCTCCATCATGTTTCCTCTTTTATACATAATGTAGTTGACCTGCATACTCCTTCCTCCACTCTTATAGGTCACTATGTAGATACTTATTGAGTGAAACCTGAGCCTGATGCTCCCATGGCCTCCGGCATAATTCTTGTCCAGAAAAAAATAATTATTCTCAGTGGCTTGTGTTTAAAGGTTTACTTAAAAATGAAACGTACAGTAAAAATGTGTAAGCACAAACAACTTATCCACAAGTTGTTAATTAAACAGAAAAAGAGCAAAGGAGGTCAAAAAACTCTTTGGCTTCACTCCCCATCTTGTCTGTCTGGAACTTTCTTTCCTGCCACACCCCACTCACATCACATGACTTAAATAAACATGTTACCAACCTCAAACCAATAAAGCTCTACGCATAAAGCAAATAGCTTCCGTTATCCATATAATTTTTACAAAATTTAGTTTAGGCTTGTACACTCTATGTTCCTCTCTCTTTTGGAAATAGGTGTTGACTACAGCCATTTCCATTTTCTTGGCAAAATCAACCACCGTTTGTCCTTCCTGGTTTGTTTCCTTGACACCAAACCTATCCATCACTTCCTCATCTCCTCAGTTTCCTGCACCAACATTTCCATTTAGGTCTGCTCCGATCACCACTCTCTCCTCCCTTGGAATACTCTCTTGTCACTTCATCCAGATCCTTCCAAAATGTATCTTTCTCTTCCACATCACATCCAACCTGTGGAGCATAACCACTGACATGTAGCATCAGACCTTCTACTTCTACCTTCAGACACATTACCCTATCTGACACTCTTTTCACCTCTGCTACATTCTTTACTAACTCCTCCTCCAGGACCACCCCAAATGATCATATGAAGAATAAATGTATTAAATTATTATATGAGCTGAAATCCTGTGAATATAATCCCTTTGAAATGAAATGGTCATTTTAGGGGAGGAATCTGTCAGTCTAGCAAATTAAAAAAATATATAAAATAAGTTAATTATGTCAAAGACTTCCTGTGCTATAATTTAAAAAAATATATAAATGTAAAGTCATGACCTCCCTTATTTTTCAAGTTATGCTCACAATGTGCACGGATGGACAAATTGATTTTTCCAATTCCCTCTTTTGCTCCACGTTGCATTAAATGTAATAAAGATTTAATTCAAAGGAAACGTGAAATGGATCTGATACGGCCCGAGTTATTAAAAGTTTTGTTTGCTCGTGTTGAAGCAGCTGGCCACTTGTCCTGAGCCTGGCTCTGCTAAAGGTTTCTCCCTCATGAGGGAGTTTTTCCTTTCCACTGTCGTGTTCATGCTTAAGAGTTCTGAGATTGAGTTAAATTCCAAGCAGTCTGCTCCTCAGATAAATAGTGTGTTAAATTATTTTTATATCTGAATGTTGCTGTTCAGTGCCCTGAGATGACCTCTGCTTTGACTTGGTACATTATAAATAAACTTAACTGAACTTCATATAAGGCAAAAAGGTACTGAATGAGAGCGGTGTGTGTGTTTGTATTGGACCTTTTTAGGACTGATGCCCCTTTCCGGTGGATTACCCCCTCTCCCTAACCTTCCCAATCTGAACCTGCCTCTGCCGGACCTGGGCTCCAGTTCTGTTCCAGCTGCTGCAGCAGGAACAACAGGTGACTCAACTTATAACATCTTTCTGCACAAATTTCCTTCTGCTTTTAGACATCAGGATGAAAACTGTGTGTTTGTTTTTCTCACCAGTCCCGCCTCTGGTGTCTCTGCCCCCCCTGAATATACCGGGTCTGACCCCATTCCCCCCTCTGTCCACCATGCTGCCCTCACAGTTTCCTCCACTGCTTTCTCATGGTGTGGCCCCCCTCGCCCCCTCCTCCACCCCACCTCCAGCCTCTGTCACGGTCACGGCGGCACCTGTGACCAACACTGCTGTCTTTGCTGTACCCCCCACGGAAGCAGGCTCCAGGAAGGACACAGAACCATCTGTTCCCACGGAAACAACACTAATGTCGTCATAACGAGGGGGAAGACGACACCCCCCACCCCCCAAGCTGGTTTCTCTCTTTCTCCAATCTGTCTTTCAATGTTTTTCTATTTATTTGGCCAGGAGAGATCAGGTGGACAGACGCACCAATCAGACACTTTTCTGGTGAGGGGGAGGACATTTCTGACCAGTCTGTTTTAGCAGAAGAACCAGGAGCGCTGCAGCCCTTCTCAGCTACTGTAGAAATAAAGACCAGGTCCAGTCTTGGGATTGTTGGTAGAACCTTCTTTGAACTTTCCCTTTTCTGACTGGGCCTTTTTGCTTTTTTTATACATGTCTTACCGTTGTATGATAAACAGATTTACTGAAGAAGGACAAAGACGACGCTGCTCTGCTGTAGATCTAAACGTGACTGTAAACGTAAATCAGGTCCTGTGGTCCAGCCTCTCCGTGTAACCTTTTATTAATGGTTAGAACTCTGATGCATAATTCCTTTTTGTTCAAGTTTCAGTGAATGAATCTGCATTATTTTGCACCTTTTAGTTTGTTTTGTTTTGCTCTTCCCCGTGTATCTGAGGCCCTTGCACCACTCTTACTCCACGCTGAAGGCCTCCTCTGAGGAGGCAGACAAGAAGCGGAGCTTGAGCTGTGGGTGTGCTTGATGTTGGGTTACCTGGTATTTAATGGGTTGTTGTTGGAAAAGTCAGAGCTGATTAGCTGGCAGAGTTGCAGGAAATCCACAAAGTGTCTGTAAAAACTGGATGTGCAGCACGAGCAATAAAAGCCAAATGAATTTTACACCCTGCGTCAAGTTGTAACTACTCATTCATGGCCTCGCTTGATTTTAATACCAGTTTAGAAAAGCAGAAATGAATGAAAACTAAAAGTTCACAAAACATTGAACAACCTTCTTGGCTGCTCCCTTCAGGGGTTGCCACAAGTCCATCACCATGGAGATTAAACAGTTGCAAAAGTAGCACAGGAGTGTTTTCTAAAGCGTTTCAAGTTTCACACGTAGGAATATGCTGCACAAACATCATCAAACGTGCACAAATCAGCTGCTGCGCATGAATCGGCTGCCTGTGACTTTTGAGACTTCCTTACCGATGCTGCGTTCAAGGCTCGTGAAAAGCTGGGACATCTGACAGTCACCAGATTTTGAGTACTGAGTTAATAGGAAAAGACAAGCTCATAACTCCAATATTAAAACATAAAGTTACATTAACGTTACTGAATTCCATAAATGTTACGAGTAGGTTATTCTACACGTGGAAAATTTATCAGGAAAAATATATTCTCTATTTCCACAAGAAGAATAACCTTCCCATTTTTGACATTTTAGCTAAACATTCCACAAAATTAACAATTGTTTCTTGTGGAAAAAACTACCAGGAATACATAATTTCTGGTATTTAGTGTGAACTGCACATTTGAAATTCATTCAACCTTTATTTCTACAGGTTAGTCTCATTGAGTCACGAAGATTCATTTATAAGAGAGACCTGTTTTAAACATAGAACAAAGATGAGGTACAGACAACAGTACATTCACATGAAAGCATATAAAATGAAAATTATATTAAAAGTATAAAACAAAAAACATGCATTATAAAACTAAAACACTAAAACCAGGAACATGTCTGTTGGTTTTTGCCATGAACGTAGCAGTTGTTTAAAATCCCTGAGAGGTCATGGTCGAGAGCTTCAAATATTTTTACAAGGTGTTCCAGGAAACGGGAGCGGACTAGGAAAACGCCCTTTTCCGAAACTCGGTCCACACTGATGGAACACTGCAGGTACTAATGTCTTGGGAGCACACGCTGTAGCTTCACTGACAACGTGACATGTAGGAGAGTATGAAGGCAACAGACCAAGAAGTGATTTAAAGATGAAAATGTACCACTGAGGGAGAGTGCGTCAAGTTTATCATGTCCATTTAAACAATGAACATGGTGCAGTGGTGGGTACGATAGTTATGAAGTTATGAATAACAGTTATTATGTTATATTATGCCAGTTATGGATCTTAGCGCACCATGATAGGCAGCGTCCAACAACGGTGCTTGTAGGAGCATTCATGTAAATAATGTCGCCGTAGTCAATGGAGGGAAGGAATGTAGTGGCTACAAGGTGTTTCCTAGCATTCAGAGTTAAACGGGATCTATTTCTGGAAGAGAAACCCAATTTTACTTTAATTTCTTTACCAAGTTTTCGACAAGGCTTAGAAGAGAGATGTACATTTACCAAAATTCCCAAGTATTTATAAAAATCAACAAACTCAACAGGAACACCATTCGTAGATGAGATAGAAAGATTGCTGGTACAGACTTCATGCTTGAAAACAACATTCCTTTGGTTTTATCAACATTTAGCACCAGCTTGAGATGGAACAAGTCTGACTGGATGATGTTGAATGCAGAATGTAAACGCTGGAAAACCTTAGCAACTGTTTTACCTTGACAATAAACAACTGTTTTAGCTCGACAATAAACAACTGTTTCGTCACCGTAGAAATGTAAGGATGCATCGGGAATGAGCCGACATGTACAAACCGGATTCCAAAAAAGTTGGGACACTAAACAAATTGGGAATAAAAACTGAATGCAATGATGTGGAGATGGCAAATGTCAATATTTTATTCGTAATATAACATAGATGACAGATCAAAAGTTTAATCTAAGTAAATGTAACATTTTAAAGGAAAAATATGTTGATTCAAAATTTCAGTGTCAACAAATCCCAAAAAAGTTGGGACAAGTAGCAATAAGTGGCTGGCAAAAGAAAATTGAGCATATATCACGCATAGTCATCAAAATTCTTCTCACTTTCAAAGCTATCCACAACCTTTCCCCTCCGTACCTATCTGACCTCCTACACATCTCCATCCCCTCTCGCTCTCTCAGATCCTCCTCTTCACTACACCTCCATGTACCCTCTGCCCGCCTCTCCACCATGGGGAGCAGGGCCTTCACCTGCTCTGCCCCTCATCTCTGGAACTCTCTACCCCCTGACTTAAGAAACACCACCTCTCTTTCTATATTCAAGACTGCTCTGAAAACACATCTCTTTAGACTCGCTTATCCTTAACTTTGCTGTATGTATTTTATATTCTTTACGCATTTTCTATTCTGTATGTATTTTATATTCTTTATGCATTTTATATTCTTTTTGTAATTTATTCCTGTTGATCTTTGTTCTTACTGTAAAGTATCCTTGGGTGTCATGAAAGGCGCTTTTTAAATAAAATGATTATTATTATATATATTATTATTATAACGAACAGCTGGAAGACCAATTAACACTAATTAGGTCAATTGACAACATGATTGGGTATAAAAAGAGCTTCTCAGAGTGTCAGTGTCTCTCAGAAGCCAAGATAGTAAGAGGATCACCAATTCCACCATTGTTGCGCAGAAAGATAGTGCAGCAATACCAGAATGGTGTTACCCAGCGAAAAATAGCAAAGATTTAAGTTATCATCATCAACCGTGCATAACATCATCAAAAGATTCAGAGAATCTGGAACAATCGCTGTGCGTAAGGGTCAAGGCCGTAAAACTCTACTGGCTGCTCGTGATCTCCGGGCCCATAAACATCACTGCACCTCAAACAGGAATGCCACTGTTAGAGAAATAACAGAATGGGCTCAGGAATACTTCCAGAAAGCATTGTCTGTGAACACAATCCACCGTGCTACCCGCCGTTGCCAGCTGAAATTCTACAGTGCAAAGAGGAAGCCATTTCTAAGCAAGCTCCACAAGCTCAGACGTTTGCACTGGGCCAGGGGTCATTTAAAATGAAGTGTGGCAAAATGGAAAACTGTTCTGTGGTCAGATGAGTCACGATTTGAAGTTCTTTATCGAACACTGCGAACTTCTGGACCGAGTGAATCGTGGGACCTGGAGGTTGTTGTTGCTAGTCCTCGACTAGATTTGGCTAGGCCTCGGCTAACAACAAGCTAACAACATAAGCTAACAACACTAGCCTGTGAACCTCGTGGCTGGATCCTGTGCTTCTGAGAGTTGAGACCAATAATCCAGAAGTATCGTGAGTAATGCCGAGCAAACACAGAGATAAGAGACAAGTGTCGGAAAGTAATTCAGAAGATATGGAGGAAGTTAAAAAATCTTTGAACTTTTTGAGTGCTGAAGTGACTAAATTGAGTGCAAATATGACTAAATTATCAGCTAAATGTGATTTACTAACAGGACTGTCTGAAGAAGTGAGACAATTGAAAGAACTGATGACTAGTAAAGACAAAAAAATAGCTGAACTGGAACAGAAAGTTGACGACATGGAACAATACACAAAAATAGACAACTTGGTGATCACTGGACTGGAAGTTAGGAACCGAACTTATGCAAGAGTTGTTGCTGGTACTAACACAGCAGAAGATGCACCACAGGAAGAACTACAGACTCTGGAGGAGCAAGTAGTGAATTTTTTACAAAGCAAAGACATTGACATCGAACATGAGGATATTTCAATCTGTCACACCCTGCCCAACAAATCAGATAAAGCCAAACCATCCATAGTCATCAAGTTCATTAGCAGGAAATCAAGAAACCATGTAATAATGCAAGCAAAAAAACTGAAGGGAACAAATGTTTACATAAATGAACATCTAACTAAAAAAAATGGAAACATTGCACGTGAAGCAAGGTGGTTGAAAAAACAGAAAAAAATAGCATCAACTTGGACAAGAAATGGAAACATCTGGATCAAAATACAGGAAGGATCTCAGGCTAAAATAATAAAAGACCTGAAAGATCTGGAAAGACTAAAATAAGCTCAGGAAATGATAGATGATAAATCATTGACACAACTTCACAAGCAATAAATAATCAAAATATAAAACAAACAAATACATTATAATATGGCAACATACGAAGACTTAGAGTTTAAAATATACAATGTTGAAGATGTGATTGATACAATTTTTTTCCCTGAAATACAAGACTGTGAATATTATAATGAAGAACAGTTTAATGACATCAATATAACAAATGGAGGTCTCTCTATTATTCACTTTAACAGTAGAAGTTTAAATGCAAATATATCCAAAATAACAGATTATTTAAAACAGCTAAACAGAACCTTTACAATAATAGCACTGTCAGAGACATGGCTCAACGATGAAAACACAACTAATGTTCACATGGAAGGGTATGAATTATATCATGTGAACAGAAGCAACAAAAGAGGTGGTGGAGTGGCTCTATTCGTTAAAAATGAAATAAAATGTAAATTAATTAATGAAATGTCAATAGTTGTTGATAATATCATGGAAATAATAACAATAGAAATAATAAACAAGAATGATAAAAACATATTAATAAGTTGTGTATATCGATCTCCAGGATCAAATATAGAAATATTCACTGATAAAATGGTACAACTATTGGACAAGAGTTTTAATAAAAACATTTTTTTGTGTGGAGACTTTAATATTGACCTGGGAAATAAAACAGATTCAAATAACATCAGTACATTTACAAATTCATTGTATAGTTTAAATCTTTATCCGTTAATATCAAAACCAACAAGAATTACAACTCATAGTGCTACAATAATCGATAATGTTTTCACAAATATAACAAATGGGGATGTGATGGGAGGTATTTTAACGAGTGATTTAAGTGATCATTTACCAGTTTTCACGATTTATAAAAATAATCAAAGCATTACAAAAGAAATTACAATTAAGGAGAAAACAATAAACACATCAAAAAAAGCAATGGACAAATTAAAAGATGATTTACATAAACAAAGCAGGAAAGACAT